CGAGTTATTTTTTGGTATAACTACCTGATTTTCTGCCCTGTCAAGCTTGATTGATTGTTTGATTGTTTTCCTTGCCTTATTTTCAATGTTGAACCACTTTTCTTATTTATTTTATACTACTCGACTCCTATAAATACATGACTCTGTTCAAACACACACACAGAGACCTAAGGAAAAACACCTCTAAAAACTCTTGCTCTCTACTACTATTTGTCTATTGCAGTGTCTAGCTGGCTGAAAGCCAAGGCTAGATCTTGGATCCTATTTACTTCACTTTCCTACTACAAATTCCTAACTGGTATGCCTCACTTTATTATTATTCAAACATCTGTATGATTTAGTTTAAGTACTTCTTGCTCAACATGATCACTTGCATGTTACTAAATCGGTATGCTTCTTATTCTCAACATGCCTACTTTCATGTCATTGAATTAGTATATTACCCTGATGTTAGCATGCATGCTCTTAACTAAGACCTATGTGGTTTTTCCCTGCCTTCAATATGTCTACATTGTCTGTTTCCAAAACTTTGTGTTTTCCTATTCCTAGCATGTCTACTTTCATGTTGTTTGAATCAGTATATTTCCTTGGTATTAGTATGCCTATTTCTGAGACTTATGTATGATAATGTCGTAATCATCATGCTTACTCACATATGTTTAAACCTAGAGGGTCCTGTTTTCAGCATGTCAACCTGCCTGTTTCTATTCACTAGACTTATGTGTTGTCCTGCTTATAACATATCTCTGTGTCTGCCCCTATGTCATTAGACCTATGATTGTTGTCTTGTTATAGATGTTCATCCCTAATAAACCCCTAATTAAATTATGGTATATATGCCCTCAACTTGCTTACCTTTATGTGTGACTATTTGATCCAACATACTACCCTATGATTGGTACAAGGCTGTATGTTCACCTAGTATTAGTTAATGGATCAAGACCATAAGAAACCTTTGTTAAACCAATGGATCTTGTCTGTTGTTGATTGAGTTCAAGGCTGAAACTTCTTCTGCTGACCCTGGGCAATGTGAATTCTTGCTTTGTGACGATGCTGTTGTTCTCAGAATGCTTTTGATTTTTGTTTTTCAGTCCTGAACTGTTTTACTCCTTAATTGTTTCCACTTCTGAGTTGTTTTCCCTCTGGAACCTCTAAACTATTTTACTCCTAAATTATTTTCCTTAAACTGTCACTATTCTTTTAAAGCACTCTTACTCCTATTCTTAGAATACCTAGGGTCCTGCCCCTCCAGTGTGAGCACTGCTTAGGAGTCCATGAGACTCCTCTGAACTCTGACACACTGGGGCTGGCCATTCCACACTGCACAAATCTGTTGCTCTTTAAGGAGGATCTTGGTTTGAGCATTGCCTGGGGTCCCTGAGGCCCTTGGGAACTTTGACACATTAGGATACCCTCTCTCGGACACTATGGGATATGGTACTTTGGACTGTTTGAAGGCCTGATTTTTCCCAAGTTTACTTTGGTCCTATCCAGGCTCCCTATAGTATAGTATCATTTATTTTTGTAATTCATTTATGATTGGTTTGTAATAGTAATATCTTTGTAAACAGATATTAGGGATATTAGTGAAACTGGGAGGGGTTCTTATACATATCTTGTTGGGAAAGGGTAAATACCATGCCCGTAGGTTATTTCAATATTTGTTTACTTAGATACCATGCTTATTGTTGAAATGTCTATTTATTTAGATACCATGCCTATAGGTTATTGCCATGTCTGTTTATTTAAATACCATGCCTAAAGGGTTTAATCAGTTCCTACATTTAGATACCATGCATATAGGGTTTTAAATCAATCTTGCATTTTAGACACCATGCCTGTAAGTTAAAAAAAATCAGTCTCTACATACTAACACAATTTAAATCAGTTTTCTGCATGACAATAAGGTTTTAAAACTAATTGTTGCATTTAGATGCCATATCTATAGGATTTCAAAACCAATTTCTGCATTTAGATACTATTGTCTATAAGTTTAAAATCAGTTTCCGCACCTAGACAACATGTCTATAGGATCTAATAAACCAAACTGCCTGCTTAAAATTGTCTACTGATTTATTGCACTTCTGATTAATAACTAGATACCATGTTCATAGGACGTCACTGATACACGACTAGGCAAGCCTGTAGGGCGGCTGAAATCCTGCAAATTGTAAAACTGTGCTTTGTTTAATTATTTGTGAATTGCCCAAATTGAGCAAGCCCTAAAATCAGTAGGCAAACTGATTAGGTCTCTATTGCCTCGCTTTAACACAATGTTGCATATATTTTGTTTGTCATGCTCACCTAGATATCCTGCTCTAGGATCCTTTGAAAAATCTGAAATCTTGTTGTTTGAGATGTGCTATTGTCTACTTGTGTGAGAAGGTAAAAGTGGGCCTTTATTTGTTCCTTTACGTGTATGTCCTATTTTCTTGTTGCTTAGATTTTCTCCTTTTAAGCACTTTAGGAGAGTCTAGAACTGCCTTAATTAGAGGTCCTAAACACCTCCAGGGCCATAAAGAAGGGATGGGTAATGCACGCATATAGTACGTTTAATTAGAATTGCTTATATAACCACTAAGGAGAGGGTAATCGGGTAGTAAAGGATATGATGACATGTGCACTAATGTTATGCGTAGCACCCCAACTTGGGGACGATTACCAAGCATTGTACAGAAGTGATCCTGTAGGCTAAAAAACCTAAGACCCCTCTTTAATCCTTGTTTTAAACATAATGTCCATTTGTCTAATTTGCTTTATCTATTTATAAGACTAATTCACATAATTTGAGTTCGGCCAGGACCCACCGTTGTGGACCGCGAGGGGAGCCTAACATCTTCCCCTCAAGGTTATTTCGAGCCATTACCCAATCTCTAGTAATGCAAACCGATTTATGAGTTACTCCCTCTGTTTCATATTAAATGAGGTACTTTCCTTTTTAGTCTGTTCCAAAATAAATGACACATTTCTAAATTTGGAAATAATTCAACTTTAAACTCTTCCATTTTACCCATTTACCTTTAATGAGAAGCTTTTATAACCACACAAATGTCATGGCTCCACAAACTTTTTACCCCTTAAGCTTTTAAGAACACAAGTTCCTAAAGTCTTCTTCTTTTTTCTTAAATTTCGTGCCGAGTCAAACTACCTCATTTAATATGAGACGGAGGGAGTACTTGCTTTATGTGCCCTAACGCACCTTAAATCTGTTAGGTGGCGACTCTTTAAATTTCATACCCAATTCCCAAAAGGAAATGAGTTGTTCCCAGTGAATGTCGAAACCCAGACTCCGTGAGAAAAAAGGGGGCGTGACATTCGTCATCTAACTTTGGATCCTAAATTTGTAATTCCTATTTTACCACATTGAAACATTTTTTTAATTCTTTTTTAATATTTTATAAGGAACTAAATATGTTAGGGTGCAAAAAAAAACGGGGACAGAATGCAAATCCCAAAAGAGTACGTAACCCGGTTGTACCACTAAAGTCTCTGTAAAAGTTGCATGGGGCGTCCTATTTAGTCGCCCCCATTTAACTTATACCAATTTTTTTAAAAACTTTTAACTTGTACCCACTTCTAAAATAACTTCAGCCCCTTTCTCCTCCTTCGTTTTCTTCTTCTTCTGAAAAAATAGCTGAAATATGCAAACAAGCAATTGACTGAGTTGTCAAGCAAGAGGACGACCATCCCGTATGCCATATTTGATTTTCCTTTGCCTTTTTAAATATTAATTCTTCTACTGTCTTCCTATAAATCTGAAGCTTTTCTGCTTCGACGTTATCTTCTCTATTGAACTGGATGAAACAGTAATCCATTAGTAATGACTAATACATGAATCGGTATGCGAGGATTATTTAATATTTTGTTTGATATATTACAGATTGTATATATTATAAATTAGTATACAATACATAATTTTAAAATTTAAACAAAATATTACAACAGAAAAATTTCAGCTCTAGAGCTGAAGTTTTCCAGTTATAACACAAAAACTTCAGCTCTAGAGCTGAAGTTTCTCAGTTTCAACACAAAAACTTCAGCTCTAGAGCTGAAGTTTCCCAGTTACAACACAAAAACTTCAGCTCTAGAGCAAGCAAGAGGACGACCATCCCGTATGCCATATTTGATTTTCCTTTGCCTTTTTAAATATTAATTCTTCTACTGTCTTCCTATAAATCTGAAGCTTTTCTGCTTCGAAGTTATCTTTTCTATTTGAACCGGAAGAAACAGTAATCCATTAACAATGACTAATACATGAATCGGTATGCGAGGATTATTTAATATTTTGTTTCATATATTACAGATGGTATATATTATAAATTAGCATACATAATTTTAAAATTTAAACAAAATATTACAACACAAAAACTTCAGCTCTAGAGCTGAAATTTTCCAGTTACAACACAAAAACTTCAGCTCTAGAGCTGAAGTTCGCCAATTACAAAACAAAAACTTCAGGTCTAGAGCTGAACTTCAGGCCCGACTACTAGAATATTGAAGTTTTGCGTGATTGCCTTTGCTACTTCAGCCCCGTGTGCTGAAGTTATGCGAAAAGCGGATACGCTTGCAATTGTTTTTGCAAAGCGGACACAAGTTAAAATGTGACACAAAAAGCGGGTATAATACAAATGCCCCAAAGTCTCTCGACGAAGTTCATGCCAGCCCATTCTCTGGCGCTAAAACGACCTCCTTTCTTTTTCTGATTGAAATCCTATTTCATATTTATAAGGGAAAACTTTGTAATCTTAATATTCTGTCATCCCTACAACTAATTCAAAGTTAGAGTAGCCAGGAAACTTAAATTGTTTAGGATTCGGTATCATTTAAGTTGAAAGTGTAGTCAAAACAATATTGGAATATGTATTCTAATTTTAGTTAAAATAGGTTTTGAACTATTATAAATAAAAGTGCTACTATCTATTTTCCAATGTGAAAGTATTCAAGATATATGTTGAGATTTATGAGATTTTGACTGAATTCTCCATATCTGTTCTAAAAAAGAAACAAGAAAGCCCTACCTTTAAAATTCTTCAAAGGGGCTTTTATTGTTCCATTGTTTATTTTTAGATAGAAAAAAAAAAGAATGGGATCTTATCAATTAATCAGAGAGAAGAATGATGCAAGATTAAGTCGTGATCTAGAACAAGGGGATATGCAAGTTGAAGCAGAGTTAAGAAGTATTACAAGCGATGCACAAAGGGACAATAATGATCATGTGGAATTGGCAGCTTTGACATCTCCAAATTTGTTCACAAATACATTGCCAATATCAGGCAGCAGCCCTAAGACTAGTGGAGATGGTCGCCTTGTTTCTCTTGACGTTTTTCGCGGTATCACTGTTGCATTAATGATATTTGTAGAATACGCTGGTGGACTTTATCCCGCTGTTAATCATTCACCTTGGAATGGTTTAAGCCTAGCAGATTTTGTCATGCCATTTTTCCTCTTTATTGTTGGACTCTCTCTTGGACTTGCATACAAGAACTTGCGCTGTAGACTGACCGCGACTAGAAAAGCAATATATCGTGCACTTAAGCTTTTCATTATTGGACTTTTTCTTCAAGGAGGCTATTTTCATGGTCTCAAAAATCTAACTTATGGTGTGGACATTGAGAATATTAGATGGATGGGTATATTGCAGAGAATTGCAATTTCATTTTTGGTGGCAGCAATGTGTGAAATTTGGCTTAAGGGACGTGATAATAGTGAAGTCAATTCAGGGAAATCTTTGCTGAAGAAATACCATAAACAATGGGCCATCGCTATAATCGTTACTGTTGTATACCTATCTTTGTTCTACGGTTTATATGTTAATGATTGGGAGTATCAGTTGCCAACGGACATAACAAAGACATTCTCAGTAAAATGTGGTGTACGGGGAGATACGGGGCCAGCATGTAACGCTGTTGGAATGATTGATCGAAAACTATTTGGTATTCAACACTTATATACAAGGCCAATTTATGGACGATTAAAAGAATGTAGTGTCAATTCCCCTGACTATGGTCCCCTGCCTCTAGATGCTCCATCATGGTGTCAAGCTCCTTTCGATCCAGAAGGCGTTCTGAGCTCATTAATGGCGATTGTAACTTGCTTCATTGGTTTGCATTACGGGCACATTATAGTCCATTTCAAGAATCATAAAGTTAGAATTCAACAATGGTTGATACCATCCTATTGTCTTGTGCTGTTGGGTGTAATATGTGACTACTTCGGGATGCATTTAAACAAGGTTTTGTACTCTTTTAGTTATATGTGTGTTACTGCTGGTGCAGCTGGATTTCTCTTCACTGCAGTCTATGTGATGGTTGATGTATTGGGTTATAGGTGCTGGACTACAGTGCTGAAATGGATGGGAACAAATGCATTGCTGATCTACGTTCTTGTATCCTGCAACATTCTGCCGGTTATTTTGCAAGGGTTTTATTGGACGCAGCCTGAAAATAACATTCTCACATTGATTGGTGTCGGACACACCAAGTAGTAGACAAACAATTGGCATGTAAGACGGGACTAGGATTTGAACTTTATCGGTTCTAAATTCTAAGATAGGTGCACTGTTGCATTAGGTGTTATTAATTGGATTCTGAATTTATTTTTGTACAAATTTAGTAAATTTTTTAATACAAATACAAAGTTTGGACGAAAGCTATTGAATTTTACTACATTACCTTCACGTGATCTAAAGTTTTGCTTCTCTTTTATTTGGTGCTCGGCATAGTAGCAACAAATACTGCAACTCGGACCCTTTTTCCATATTAATTTTTGAGAAATTTTCATAAAGCACTATCTTTTAGTGGTAATTAGCTATCTATAGATACCATTTGCTATATTACGGATTGTAGATACGTTTTCTGTTGTTCTAAGATGTATTAGATGTATTTAAGCTACTGTATTCATGAATACAGTAGCAAAAATAGGTGTGAATCGGGGAAGTCCAGCTAATCAGTTGTTGTATTCGAATGTATTCGACAGTATTCATGGCGTGAAACATGGGATTGCAGCTGGACAGATTATTGTATTCGACTGTATTCAAGGCGTGAAATAGGAAATGCACTGTTTTTAAACGGAAAGTGAATCAATTAACATAATAGACTCCTAATATAACTCAACAAACTCAATTATAACATACAAATTTTGTATTTCCATTTATCAAAAAGATTCTCAACAGAAAAATACCCCAAAAATATAGCAATCTTCAGAGAAATTATATAATACATCTGAATACATAAATTATATTAATTACAAAAACATATGAAAACATTCATGGCATATAGCGAGACAGTGAATACAATGAATACATAGAATACATCGAGATATATTGAAATACAATGAAAAAAAGGCAGTGAATATAATGAAATACAGCGAGATACATTGAATTACAATGAAAAAAAAGGACAATGAATACAATGAAATACATGAAAATACAATGTGATACGTTGAAAATACATTGAAATATATTAACAGAAAATCAAGTTGCTCAGCCCCAAACTCCGTCGTTTTTGTTCAAGAACAAACCCTAATTTCCGACGAATCCGCCGTTGAGCAACGGTGGCAGAATACGGTGAAGAAGAGCCAATCTTCGTAAACTTTAGTCAGAACAAACCAACCTTCGTTAGCTTTAGTCAGAAGAGCCAATCTTTGTTAGATTTAGTCAGAATTTATTTATCTATAAAATATAATTTTTTTTAAATTGTATTTATTTAAAATAAATAAGGTATTAATCTTTGTTATACGAGGTAAAAATTCCTTAATTTTTTAAAGATAAATGAAACAATATCTCAGAAAGCGAGAAAAAGAAAAATACTCTAGAAATACCATTTCCGTCAATGACAATTACGGATCTGTTAATAAATAATTGCCCAATTATGTAAAAGGAAAAGAAAAAACAGCCTTAATTTATGGTAATAGATCCAATTATTATTTAGTCAATGCTCTTGATCAGTTTTGGTTTATATTATCTCTTTTTCCATTTTTTCTTTTAAATTTTCATGTATAAAGACGTTTCTGCTGTCAACTCTCTTAACTTTTAAGATGCTTAAGCAATCATACTCAGTTCGAACTACTACTTTTTTTTCTTTGTTGGTCCTTGACTTAGAGCCTAATTAATCTAAATCATTGACCCAAATTATATTAAAAAACCTTCCAACTGGGCCTCAATCTCTGCACTTGGTGATTTTAGTAGAACGTGTCTTCACATACTATTATTTGCTAATATTAAGTAATATTTTCAAACGCTGAGAACGATCGAGCATTAGTGTTTTTAAAAATTTAAATTTTTGTGTGGTGGTAGTTTAGAAAAGTGTTTACACAACTAGATTACTTACAACTAAACATCTTCAATAAGATTAATTGCTAACTTGATAGAAATAGTAACTAACTTGCTAAAATATATTTTTTCAAAAAATGGCGCAAATAATTTTTTTCTTTTATTAACCAAAAAATCCTCGAAGAAAATTAAAGTGATACAGGTTCAAAATTCGATGAATAATGTGTTCCCCAACTATTCTCCTCTTAAATGTTACTAGTAGATTTTACGCCATGATTCAAGCCAGTGACATTCGCTAATTAACGTATAAAATCTTTAACCTATCACTGCATATAACTTAAATTCTTTATTTTAAAACTCAAATGCTGAATATATATAACGTGAAGCTGGAGTAGGAAATGAAATACTAACTTCAATAAAATTTGATTATATAATAAAAGATGAAGAACTTTCGTAGATGTGAATTGCGACACTTTCTCTACTCTAGTTGCCACACATTGACCATTATATATGTTATTAAAAAAAATACTCTCGTCGTCCTCAATTGGTAGCAGCGACAAGACTTGGATTTACGTGAAGACATCTTTAAGTGAGAACAAATCACCACCTTTTATTACTCTACAATTTTTATTTGTCAGCTATCGCATATTAGTAGCATTTAAATTTTGGAGTAGTTTGCCAATTATTTGGTGTAAATATAATTTAGTCAGCTCATGCATCACAACTTATGCTTAAAACTAATTAAGTTAAGATTTGAGTGAAAACGTCTAAGGTTTTGTTTGATTAGATCGATGCATGGCATTTTTAATAAGTCGAAAGTAATGTCCATTAAAAGTGGGAAAGAGCTTTTGTATAGGAACACTTTCAGGGCCAACTCCTTCCTACTAATTATGATATAAGGTATAGTTAATTATTGTAAAAAATTATTTTTGATATGACTAACTTTTTGTTCGTGGTTTGGAGTTCAAATGGAATATATACATTTAATAGCTAGGAAGAAATGACATTGAGTCCTGACAAAAGTAGTGGAAAACATTTTCATTTGAACTCTTAAAAGATGTATATAAATTATTGTGTTCTTAGTGGTAATAAAAAAAATTCTTTGAGAAAATAATTTTCCTAACCCAAGACATCAATAAATTGCTTAAACTTAGAGAAAGTTTTTGAAAAGTAAGTTAACGTTTATGATCTTGCCAGACTGATAGCTTCTAATATTTTTATGTAGTCTCATGTCAAGAATTAGAGTCCATAGTCTCCTTCCTAGCTATATTTTTTCTATTTAAGAAGCCATTTACACCAAATTTTCAGACTTTTAAAATATGTCAGCTGAGTGCTGACGATTTTGTTGAATAATATCTCAATTTGCATTTGTTTAACAATTACGGTATAAATCTGAGTTTGGAGTCACGATCGGTTTCATCATACTCATAAAAAAAAGGAATTTCAGCAATATTTAACTTGAGTTGGCAAAATATCATTAGTTAGCACATAATCGAGATAAAGTCGCAATAGCAAAGATTATTAAAAGAACCTCTAGAGGCCCTTTAAATGACCCAGAGGGTACTATTATATAATATACTTTAAGAACCTACAGTTTACAATGACAGTGTAAAAGAAATTTTTATACTATTAAATCATTCAAAAATAATCAGATTAAATTATTCATAATAATAAAACTTGTTAGCTTATAACATGTTAAAATTACAATGATAGTGTAAAGAATCTTGATATATCAAATTTAACATAAAAAATTTAACCCGGAAGTACCGGTGTTCAAGAGATTGACAAGATCAGGATTATGATGAGATGTCCGTTGTTTCAAATTTCAACAGTAGGTTAATTAATTAGGAANGGGGAGGGGGGGAAAGAAACTAAAAATGAATATCATGGACTCCTTATAATATTTCAAAGACCTCTCTTTGTTTGAGCTAATTAGTTGTGACTATTTTATAAATGTTCCTGTGGGACACTTAGTAATATTTTGTGTTGCAATTACTCTCTTTCCATTTGTCAGTCATTTTTCTGTTAATGAAAATTAAGTTGCCCGATTTGCTTAGCAAATTACAACATAGTAGATCCATCTGTCGCAATATAATAGTTTAACGTAGTACTAATATATTAAGAAAAAACTTTTGAGGGAATCTATATATTTGAAAATCAAGATTAATGGAAAAAAGTTTAAATTTTTTTAAACTAATGCAATGTAGAATTCACTATCTCATTGCATCAAACATGCTGGGGATGGTGAGTTTTCCTTTTATGCGAGGTGTAACAATAAATATTTATACAGAACAAATAATTTCTTGCATCTTCGTCGTAGAGTCACTCTCTTGAAAGATTTTTTTCTCCTCGAGAGAGGGTAAAAACAAAAAGATAATAGGTCACTGACTCTCGAATAAATTACAAGTTTTCTATCTGAACATTTTTTTTTACCCGTAATTCTAGTTTTTCAGTTCAAAATTATTGTTTGGGATTTAAGATAGGGAATATGTTTAAAAAATTAGAAGGTTGGATAGTCAATTAATGAAGATCAAGAGGTTTACTTCTCCGTGACTGAAAAGCGGTTTGACTAACACTTGAATATAACAAGGGATAATTCATACGTGTGGCCCGATATAATCAGAAATCTTGGATTCGAATTTTGAAAATAAATATTATTTTTGGTAGAGAGCTAAATTTGGTCTACCTTGCAAAAATTTAGATTAGGTGAACATTGAATTTCAGATCTTGAATTTAAAAAGTTGTGTCAACGGAAAGTAAGGATATACATAAGTTAGGTTGGTTCAGATTTTTCAATTACCAAACCAAATTAATAATATCGTATTTTTAAATCCATAAACCAAACCAAACAAACAAAGTCGAGTTTTTCAATCTCGATTTTTCTCGAGGTTTTCATTTTTTTTTTCTTCCAGGTTTTCGGGTTTTACCGATAAAATCTTCATAGTAAAAAAATATGTAACTTGTACTCCAAATATTTCTTAAGTCCTAGTAAGATACAACTATATAATGTATTTTTGAAGAAAATAACACAATAATATGAGATAAGTCATAGCATTATATTAAAATATTCAATAGCAAAGATAATAAAATTACATAAAGCAAATATTGCTAAGTAATAAGCCATAATGAAAATTAACATAATCTAAAAATACTATATAGGTCATGCTAAAATGCGATGACCCAAAGGGTCATCTTATGTTTTAGAACTCGATTCCATGTTCCGAGGCCTTAACACCCTCATTTTATCTCTCCTCAATTTGCGTGCGCAGTATGGGCG